CACACCCATCCTCCATGAGATCTCAAAGATAACTGGCACTGGTTTCAAGACTGCTTTACTTACTTATGGAGTCTAGGGTGAATCTGATCAGGCCTTGCTGGTTTGAACACATTCTAATTTATCTAAATATTATTTAATCGGCTTTTGTCAGTTTTTTTAAAGAGAGTTATGAGGTTTGCTCTTCTCCATTCCCCTAGAACCACACCCATCCTCCATGAGATCTCAAAGATAACTGGCACTGGTTTCAAGACTGCTTTACTTACTTATGGAGTCTAGGGTGAATCTGATCAGGCCTTGCTGGTTTGAACACATTCTAATTTATCTAAATATTATTTAATCGGCTCTCTCTCAGTTTGTGTTTCTTCTTCAGATGGAAGCTGTTGAGAGAGTTTGAGAGCAATAGGCACGTGTGAGAAGATAGTCATGGTGGTAATATATGGGGGACATGGAGTTGTAGAATTAGCCTAGTGTGGGCAAGCATCCATTTTGGGGGACATGGAGCTGGACAGGAATGTGGCAATTTTTTATGGAGCATGAGGGAGATGTGGGGAATGGGTGGCCAAATAGGAGAGGAGGTGTACCCTGATGAACCTCCAGGCCTCAAGCCCGTCCACTATCTCCTCCATCCAAGACTCTTCTCCCTCAACACACATCTCTGTTCTTTCCAGGCCCTAAATTCCCTCTCATGGCTTTCTGCTTCCCAGGCCTGTGGCTGCCTCCCTGCCTCCCCAGAGTTCTGGGCAAGGCACAACTGCTAAGTCCAATAATGCAGCTGATAGGACTTGACAAATCTGAAGGCTATTCTTAGCAGAACTAGTAGGGGATATAGCACTTATGCCAGGGTGCCCCCTCTGCCACTCTGTGTTCTATCTCCACAGAACAGAGGGGGCACAACAGGACTTGGGATGGAGTTTGCTGGCTGCTTTAGGGAATGGGCCAGGACTAAGGCAAGGGTGATCCTGCCTTAGACCCACTGCATCACCGATCAGGAGCCACTGAGGTAAGCAGTGTCCAGCTGGATCCCACATCCCAAACTCCTACCCCAGTCACGAACCCCCTTCTGCACCCCAAGTCCCTGCCCTAGCCCCGAGCCCCCCTGCATCCAAACAGCCACCCAGAGCCTGCACTTAGAACCCTCTCCTACATCCCAACTGCCAGCCCCAAGCTCAGCTCAGAGCCCCTTAATCCAAGACCAGATCCCTTAATCCAAGACCAGAGTCTGCACCCCAGCCCTCTGCCCTAGCTTGATGAAAGTGAGTGAGACTGGGCAAGAGAAGGAGGATGGAGAAGGGGTGGGAAGGAGGCGGGGCAAGGTTATCTATATTTGAAGTAGATCTTGGGTTGCACTTCAATTCAAAAAGTGATCTCGTGCTCAAAAAGATTGGAGACCCCTGAGTTACACACACATACACCTGCTCCACCCCTTAAACATCAGCATGACCACCAAAAGCTCCAACATGGAATTTTCTTTGCTTGAATTTAGTGAGATATTGTTCTGTTAGGGAATGAAATAACAGCTGATTAATGCTAATAATTAAATGACACAAATCCTCTTCCCTCATTTTAATAAGCACAGAACACTAAATAATTGCCACGTGGAACCAGCACAATACACAAGATTTCTGGGGGGAAAAACAAAAAAAAAAAACAAATAATCCCCCCTTTAAATTCACATAATGTATATTGAACAAGTATATGCTACCTAGCTAAGCTCTGATTTGGGAAATAAAATAAACTCACAAATTAAGGCATTTAATGCCTCTTTTCCTTAATTATAGATTGATGCCAAAATAGTTTTCCATGTTGACATGTAGCCTAAGAGAGGGCAAATACTTAAGAACTAGGACATGATCATTCAAAACACTGCACTGTTATGTCAACAGGACAATACAAGAAAAATTGTACCTTGGGAGCTATCCATTTTGCTGCAAATCCTAATGGCTATTCCAGTCAGCATTTCAGATTCAAGGTTCAATGAATATTACTAACCTGGAAACTCAGAGAAAATCTCCATTCGGAGTACATTTTTATTGTTCCCATGGCCCCCATTACTGCAGGATCTGAGGGCTTCATAATCTTTGATGTTTTTATCCTGACAATACCCTATGAGATAGGAAAGTACTGTTATCCCTATTTGACGGATAGGATGCTGAGAGACAAAGGCCTAGAGCCTTAAAAGTATTCAGGCTCTGCATATCTTTAAAGATCCTATCTTGTCATAAATCACCCAGGAGGTCTGTGATGAAATGAGAACAGAATTGGGTTTCCTTTATCCTAGACTAGCGCCCTAAGTTAACCGCTGCAATATCCTTCCAACAGGTGCATGTCTCAACCTGAGGAATTCTGTTTTGTTCAGCCTGTGCCTACTTAACCATCTAGAGCACTCTTAGTCAATCTCCCTCATCTTAGTCTGAAACAGCCCAAGCTTGGTGACCTTTAGGGCATCAGGCAAAGTACACTTTTTGAAGGTAGCTTTTGCAGAAAGGGAGATACCGATGGAGGTAGGGTGACACACAGCAATCTGCATCAGAGAGTTTATTTAATTATGGTAATATCTTATGGGGTTGCTGTTAGTTTTTTACTGTAGTGCACATTTTCCAGCAATTGTCAGGGCCAAAGTGTGTGGCTCTTGAACACTGATTTCAGAAACAGTTAAGATTATGCCTATATTGATAAGACTCACAGAGAGTTGTCTACCTCACCCTTCACCAGTGGAGAAAATTAGAGCAGACCGTTTGGTAGCACTTCAACATTTGTTTTAAAGGCCATATTAGAATTACAGAGTATTTCACATTGATCCTACCTGCTGACCCAGGGTGAGTCTACACAGCACAATTATTTTGCAATAACAATGCGAGCGTCTACACAGCAATTCTGTTATTTCAAAATAACATATGGCTTATTCCAATTTCTGTAAGCCTCATTCCTCGAGGAACAACACCTATTCTGAAATAGCTATTTCAAAGCAGCTGTAGTGTAGATACTACATTGCTGCTATTTCAAAATAGCTTCTCCCCTGGGCCATTCAAAGTAATTACACCCTGGTCTGTCCTGCGGCTCTAAATCGAGGTAGCACATCTACGTTAAGGAAGCCTGCTTTGGACTAATTTTGAGTCTTCCCTGTAGTGTAGACGTGCTATTTTGAAATAAACTATTTTGGAGTATTTCTTCTGGAATAGCTTATTTTGAATTAAGTGTGCAGTGTAGACGTACCCCTGAAGAAGAGGGTTTTGCTCACAAAAGCTCAAGATACCATCTACATGTTTTGTTAGACTTTAAGGTGCTGCTAGACTATTTGTTATTTTTTAAGTTTTTCCTGTTACAGACCAACTCTGCTACCCCTCTGACTCTTCAGTGTTTTCTATATTTTTTGTGTTGCTGCCATCTAGTGGGGCATTGAGAGAGAGAGAGTGAGAGAGAGAGAGAGAGAGAGCAAGCGCGCACGCGAGAGAGACTAGTGCTGTCTAATAACTAAAAATGAGCTCTTTGGAATGCTGATGCGTTAAAAATCTTTTACATTAAAAATTAAGTTGTATAATTATTGATGCTGTGCTGCTGTTTGCAGTGATTTCTTTTCTATTTCCCCTCAAACCCACACATAACTTGCTTCAGTTGGTGTAGTGCTATGAATTAGTGTGAGGAAGCTTTTTTGGGTTCAGGGGCCACTGACTCTCAGAAAAATCAGTCAGGGGCTGCAGATTAGTCAGATGGCGGCAGGCTTGAGCATCAGTATGAGTCTCCGGGTGCGGATCCAAGCAAGCTGGGGGGCCACATTAGTACTACATTAGTAGTACAAGGTGGGGGGGCCTGAATTAGTACAACAAATATAAATTTTTAGTCTGACGAAGAGGGACATTTGCCCATGAAAGCTTATGCTCCATGACATCTGTTAGTCTATAAGGTGCCACAGGACTCCTTGTCACTTTTGCAGATCCAGACTAACATGGCTACTCCTCTGATACTTGAAATATAAATTGTAACTTTTAAAAGTACAACAGATCTTCCACAGTTTCACAATGTTTAAGGCCTGAAGGGCCCATTAGATGGTTGTATCTGATTTCCTGTGTATCACAGGCCACTACATTTCACACAGATACCCTTCAAATGAGCCTAATATCAAGTTAGATCAAGCTGGTGGATGCCACAGGCAGAGAATATAAGCAAGTAAGGTGCTACCATTGCCTAAGGTTCTTTGAAATTATACTATACTTCTTTTCCAAGGTGGAAAAAGTCAAATTCTAATCTACAAGGCAAGGCCCTAGATGTAGCATACAGGCTTGCCAGTATCAGGGGGGCAGATGGGCTCAGGAGGGTGGTTTCAATCAGGTGAGGCTTTCCAAGTGTGCACTGACAGCCCCTTTTCTCCCTCCCTCCACCATTTGCTAATTTTACAAGGGGCACACAAAGTGCTGGAGTGTTTTCTGACCACACCCCTTTACCAGCAGGTAGCAAATGGTGTGGGGGGTGTTTCTGTCTCCCCCACAGTTTGCCAGCCTGGACCAGTCTCTCACCCCAGGGCCCAGCCAGAAGCAAAACTTCTTAGCAGACCAGGCTCAGTGGAGCAGGAAGAAGGGAATTACTGAGAGCTCTGGGTTGAGGGGGAGGCAGGTAAGCAGTCGGGCTCCCTAGCCCAGAGGGCAGGCAAATGGAGATGGCCCACTGCCGTCATCCTGCGGGAAGAGCAGCCGCTCCCGCCCTCCTGCACAGGGGAGGGGCGGGCTGGCAGCAGCGCTTAGGGTGGGAGGGGAGCGGCAGCAGCTGGGACTAGCTCTTTCCCACAGGGTGGGAGCAGGCCAAGTGCGCGGGTTGGTGAAGGTGGCTGGGCGGAGGGAGGAGGCAGATCCCGAGGGGGCTTCAGCCCTGAGCCCGGGCTGGAGGCGGAGGCGGGCGCAGGGAGGCTGGGGGAGGAAGGGCCCCCTCCCCTCTTTGCCTGTCCAGCCGCAGCCGGCCCCGGGGGCGGCAGCCGCGGCAGCCCGCCCAC